GACAGAATATTTCATCTAGGTTGCATGCAAGCTTGCCGAATGGTGTTTTCCAAGTTGTCGCGAAATATGACAACGCATATATAGGTATGTGTTTTTTAAAATCATTTCCATGCAGCTACGAACGTACTGTAGCAGCTACATTACAGCATAAGTCTCTTTGGCTCAAACACCATAACTTACAGTATGTGCTACCATGCTAGAAGACATAGCTTTGTATATCGCTATTCAAGCGAAATTCTTACAGTAGAGCTGTTAAGCTATATAGGCTAACTCTTCCGAATTTACTTTGCGTGCGTAACACATAACTCTATGTTAGACATGCGAAAAAATTCTGAAGAGTTCTTTGTTTGCTTGTCGATAGTTCGTGGACATACATTTAGGTGCACGTGAAAGAACTTCACCCGATTCTACCCTCCTCCTTCTCTTTCTTTTCATTTGCACTTTGTTTTTTTCAATGCTGCATTTACGTAAGGGCAAGACCTAAAGGCTTGTGTAAGTACGTTTTGGCACACGTTAAAGAAACCCAACTGGGATTATTTCATTGATGGCAGCCACATACTTTCTCTTTTGGTGATAAACAAAAATGCTTGAATTCAAAGCTCGGACTCTCGTCTTTTGTAAATAAAGTGTCATGTATCCTCAAGGGAATCTGTCTCTCCCCTACCCCTCATATCGGCTCTGGCTTTGGTGCATCGAACCCATTTCTTGCTTGTCCAATACCTCAACTAAAGAGGTTACTACATCTAAATTCCATACATAATGTCAAAAAATTTATGCAAGGCAGGTTGTTTAGCCCTGCTGTACCTAGAACACAGTATTAGGGTCGCCTCAGAAATTATTTCATTCTATAGTGACACACAAGAAAACTTGCAGAACTATTTGATCTCCATATAGTAACAAAAAAAACATGCATATGATAACTGCAGAATGAAAACAGGCCACTGTGTGAACCTGCTAACAAAAATCACGTTCCTTTCTTTTTTACCAATACACGACTACACAGATAAAGAAAATAAGGATTGAAGTGAATTGGGCATCAGGGACGGTTTGTAGAGCGAAAAACGCAGACAATATAGACACAAGCTCTGAATGGCTTGTAGAGGGTGGGGGGGGAACAAAGAAAAAAAAAAGAAAAAAAGAAACACAGTACATTCTGCAAGGTGACTTATCAGTGTTCGTGTCCATTCCATATGGGTGTGTTTTTGGTAGAGAATATCCCCGAGAAAAAATTACTAGCGCGTAGCTAAATGTACTGTATGGCATCAACGAACACTCTTGTGACGATTTGCCACTCCGCGCAGTCCTAAGTATGGGTCAAATCAAATATGCAATAGCCCAACAGCACCAGTAAGTGCCATTTTGCCTTTATATGGCACAAATGTCCTGCAATTCTCTATTACATGTCGCACAGTGGCTGCGATTGCAAAGCTTTCGCACTCTGCACGTGTCCGTGTTGGTAGAAGTGAGCCGTGGTGGGGTGCGCACTGTGGCGAGGCGGCAGGAGTAGTTATCTTGCTTTCTCCGATTACGCGCTCCGCGTGTGAATGGGACAGCCTGAGGAACAGTGCACCGCCGGCCCATCTCGGAGGCCATGCTGCTACATTGACATAGTGCAATGGTTTTCAAATGGGGGTCTGCGAAACTATTTCTATGATCCGCGAAACCCTCACCCGCATTTTTCTTTAAGCATGACTGTGCCATGCATTGCTGGACTGTCTAAAATGAAGTGATGTGGCACGTTTGATGTTTTTGGTAACAATAAAAGGCACCTGTTTTACGCTCCAGTTGTGTTAATTTACTTACGTGCCCCCCCCCCCCCCCCCCCCTCCCTTTGATGCAAGAGTCCCTTATAGCTTCCACCAGTCCACAAGGCGTCCCCGACATATCCATGGCCAAGAACCACTGGCATAGTGAATGACATTTGCAACTACTAAAGGCATTCACCCATCGAATACTTTTTCTAAACTCATGCAAGTGCAACTTGTGTAACCTATACGACAGGTGCTTGGCAAAAAATGGCAAAGCAATCAATGTCAAGGTTCTTATTAGTGACTTCAAACTTTTCCATAACTTTCTGATGTACTGCACAATAGTTGAAGCAACTTGTGCAACTATATTCTTGTTGCCAGACTTCAACTTAACGCTAGTGTCTCCTATTGAGCAAGCTTACAAACGCTCATCTGTTCTTTCTGCTTTTTCAATTCCTTTATGTTGTTTTAGTAAAGCGACGCCATAGCATCAAGGTTGGCATTTCACACCCGATATTGATTTGCCAACCATGGTCTCAGCAGTTTTGTAAGCGGAGAACAACATGAAGCAGAAAGCACACTAGATTGACAATAAACATCGACATCAATGGCGAATATCATTTTGTACACCCAAGCAGACTAGGAATTCCAATGTTGCAGTGGCATACAGTCTGAACATCATTTACTGTGAATGACATTACATGTACTATGCGACAGGGGTAATAAAGGTAATGCAATACCACCGACACTAATGAAACTGGAAGGTCTAACGAAAATTGGAACTTTTTTCAGCACAATCACGAACTGGCAGAAGTCTTCAGGTTTTCTGGTTTTGAAACATTTAATGCATAATCATTTAACCGATAAAAATATAGAAGAATGCGATATGTTTGGGGGGGGGGGGAGGGAGATTGTCAAAATTATGCTGGTGATAGAAAAAAAGAAGGCTAGTAAAGTTGAAGATACGATAAAGTGCTTTGAGAAGTGAAAAAAAAAATTGCATTTTACCATAAAACTTCCCTTTTTCATTTTTATTATCAATATTATTCAAAGTGAAAAGGTTACCAAAGAAACCCACAATATGTGTGCATGGAAATATTTGGTTAACATTGTACAACTCAATAAAAAAAATTTCACTTGTCTTAGCTTTTTCACGGGTTAAAAAGTTCAATCTATTATACAATCAAATATTGTCATTTAGCTTTGAGATTTCACAGAAAACAGTGAAGAGTTTTAACCCCTCTGAAACTTGTAACTTAAGCAGCATGAACATCACATTTCTGTTGTCTTGCTTGCTTCATGCCTTGGCTACAGCCATACAAATGATGTAACAAGCTAAGACTACAGTATGGCAGACTTGTACCAGAGAATTCCTTTAGATAACCACACTATCATTTTTCGCAAATAGCAGATTATGTCATTTCTCCTTTCTAATTCTGTGTCATGAGTAGACTGGAGCCACCGTCCTTTCAATTCACTGATGTTCACCCATACATGTGATTTAGCATTTGATGTATTTATTTACATGATAAAGGTAATTAGTTAGTTTATATTACTTTGCATTGAGCATACCATTTTCTTTCTTTTATCTTGTAATAATGTGGTGGAGTAAATTTATTGCAAACAAAATGTGTTGCACAACTCCACATCTTGCCCCCCAGAATTGTAAATAATTACGAAACCCAAAACACTAAATTTTGTCAAAACAGAAGTTCATAACAAAGCCATACTACCACTTGGAGAGAAGAATAAAGAAAATTTAAGCTTGTGTACTTCACATTCAAGAACAAATTGAATTTTACTTAAGGGAGCACTGACAAAAAATTTTGAAGGACAGATAACGAGCAAGATAGATTTATGTGGAAACATACACAACATCTACGAAATATAAAGGGCAAATATAGGCTAGAACATATATAAAATCATCTTTAAAACACATGCCATGCGATTGAGCAAGATGCGGAGCTCCTTGTAACACCGACATCAATGTGCTGTCAATGCAAGCAAACATACGCCACGAGTTTGTGTTGGCTGGTTGCTGGCACGCGCCTTGCGCTACCTGCGATCGCTTCCTCTGTGCTTGCGGCTTTGCATGTGCTGGCTGTGCCCGCTACTGCTGTTTGTGTGTCTTGCCCGTTGGCAGATGTTCTGCACCACCTCTGAAACTCTGCTGATAATGCAACACCGACTCCTGTCATCCATCGAAAACAACGATCATGATGACGAAAACATTTCACAGCATGTGCAGGCATAGCAGATGAATTGTCAGTGCAGTGCCCGCTCTCGTGCACGGAGCCTAGGTCGCAGTTTTGCATGTTCACATGGTCAGCTTCATTTACCTTGACAATAAAACTGCTCCTGTCTAGCTTGGTTTTCTCTGAAACCGAAACTGGGTGGTTTAAAATTGTTTTTAAATAAATTCACCATTGGGCACTTGCACAAATGAGATTCCCTACCATGATAAGTGGGCTATAAGCTACCTATTGCCACAATGACAAAAAAAGATGTCAGAGCTCCTTTAATGCGGAGCATAACAAAGAAAAATTTACAAGGAAGGCACTATTAGATGTTAGTCCAGCCAAGACTGGTCAGATCAGATGCCACAGTGAAAAGCCCAAAGAACCAGGCCAAGACCTTCTGCCTGCCCTTAGGCTTGACCACTCATTCCGGGGTGAAGGAGGGGTCTGCCCTATGAAGCCCAACCGAAGCTATTACAGTAGACAAACTTCCTTACAACGCTTCAGACACTGTCACAAACAAACAGAAGATGTTTTCTATTCACATGTTCATGCTGCAAGCTTAATGAATTGAACAATGAGTATCACTGCTCATGCTCATTCATTGAGCAAGTCCCTGGGCATTAGATTTGATAAAGGAAGCTAATTGCAGTTGTAATCTTGAGATGCAAACACAGCTGAAAGCAGTGCTTTTGACTACCAACATAGTACCAGTTGATCTTAGCAAACGAAAGCGCTTGAGCTGCACATGCCTGCTGCAGCCTCATTTTTCTAACATATCTTGCTATGGATTCAAGACTCCTTGGTATTGATGTAGGCCTTCCTCCACAGTTCTTTTATTAATATTTTATTAATATTACTATTACTTTTTGTTTTAGGTGAGAGCGGCCCGCAACCTTTCCTTTATAAAATGGGCATGAAATTCCTCAGGACCTCAACAGCTCTTTTTCATCCAATTAATGCTAAAACTACTGTGGAATTTAACATCGCATGATTAGTATAAATGTACACTTACTTGCACGCATCACCTCGTTTCCGTTCAAATGGCAGTGCATGAGAGCGTCGCCTTGCGTGTGTTAGAAGGGCTTCCCTGTTCTGGTAGCTTGCCCCACATGAGCAAAGCCAAGAAGTTCCGCAAGTAGCCTCATGGTGTTTAGACAGCCAGTCAGCTCCGAATTTCTTTCCACATTTGGAACATGAATACTTCTTTTCAGCATGAACCTTGAAAAAGTGCTGCAAAAAACATGGAGCAATAAAAATTTGAGAATACAGGTATATATGGTGGCGTTTTCGCGAGCACCCAGATTACAAAGTTTCACAAAGCAGAATTGTGAAATTTATATGATACTGTAGAATTTGTGTAAAAACAGTAGTGCCCTTTCTACAACGCATGATCAAACTTTTTGCCAAAGACACATCCTTAATTAAGAGCCACGTAAGTAAAATTGGGTAAATTTTCAAAGAGGCTTTGTACGAAATACACACATTTCAAAGAGGCTTTGTACGAAATACACATATCTGAAATTTAGATTGATATATGATTACCATGTGGGGTTTAACATCCCAAAACCACCACATGATTATGAGAGACACCGTGGTGGAAGGCTCCGGAAATTTTGACCACCTGGGGTTCTTTAACGTGCACCCAAATCTGAGCACACGGGCCTACAGCAATTTTGCCTCCACCAAAAATGGAGCCGCCGCAGCCGACATTCGATCCTGCGACCTGTGGGTCAGCAGCAGAGTACCTTAGCCACTAGACCAATGCGGCGGGGCTATCTGAAATTTAGAAATATAACAAGAATAACAATACCAATTATCTGTCCCATTATGCTTAAAGCGACAAACAAGTTACATGCAGCACGCAGACCATGCGACCAAAAGTGTTGGAATAGTTTCGATAAAACTCAATGCAGATGCTGCTTTGCTATAGATTTATAGCAATAGCTAGATTCAATCTAAAAATTAAAGCTGCAGCCACAGCGATCGCTATCTCACGAAAAAAAAAAAAGAGCATTGATGCTTTATGTTATGTTTGCGTATGTTTGTGCAGCAATGCACTTCTGAATGTTTAAAAGAGATGACCGACTTTTCCTTGAATACACCTCTAGGAGGGAACACTTAGTGTAACCGCAAATTTCATCAGAGATTCTGATATTAGCCTTTACTGCGTTTAATGAACAAATTTGGCCAGTATTAATGAACCAATCTAGTTATCTTTTATCCCGTTACCATTTCTGTGCCCTTATAACGCACGTAGAGTACAGGAACTTGAGGAAAACGTGAGGTAAGGCCAAAGTTGGTTTGTGAATACGGGCCGTAATTTCACATATGACTGGCATTTACATAACCAGAAAGTACTTTTACTTCAAAGGGAAATAAGCTGGCACGATTCTTATTCAGAGGTGAATGCCAGGCGCAGCACTTTTCTCTAAGCGGAGTTTATTTATCCATTGTTTTTTCTTAGGTTGTAACCAACCATAAAGCTCCCGAATGCTACACGCAAAAACTCAACAGTCGTGCACAAGAATTCTGCAGAATGAAACAAGTGTACAAATAAAGTTTCGCAACGCATACGTGGACGCTTATTAGCTGTATATTCAAATTATGAATTATTATGAGCTGTATATTCAAACACAAGTCACTTTAAGGCTATCACAATCTTATCACTATCGAGTTTACTAAGCCCGATATAAAACATGGCTTGCAGAATTTAGCATGCCAATCACCTCAGCTGTTCACTTTTCACATTCAAATAACTGCTTAGTCCGAACAAAACAAGCCAGAGCGCACATGACGTCTGCGCATTCACGCCACATAATTACTATCGTAATCAATTCTTGTATGCAAACTGTTCGATTCTTATTTGCTTGACATTATACTTGCACGTTCCTTTACCCTTTGCATTATTAAATATTGTACAACTTACGATACATATAAACTTGACTACATGCATAGCGATCTCGCTCTGGATGTCCAGTGACACATATAAACGATACATATAAACTTGACTAGATGCATAGCAATTTCGCTCTAGATGTCCAGTGACACATATATAAACGATACATATAAACTTGACTACATGTATAGCAATTTTGCTCTGGATGTCCAGTCTGGTAATTATATCTGACCCCAATTTATAATTGTTGACGGATACTTACTTTGCTTGACGAACCGCAACACCCTCTTTGATCTAGTCTTTAATTTAAATGTTCAGTCGACGAATAACTGCGTAACGTCGTTTAGTTATGTCCAACATACCTGGTTAAGGAGCTTCTGCGACGAAAACAGCTTGGCCTGGCCATCCTTCGAAGAGCAACTGCCCACGGGGCATCGGAATCTCTTAGGTGCGGCTCCAGTTCCGGTTTTCTGCCTCATTTCGAGCAGGCGTTGGCGAGCTGATCACGAACAGCAAGAATAAATTAATTTACCACTCAAAAACACACCGCTGCGTGCGGCATTGCTCGCTTATGTCTGGTTTGGTTGTAAGGGATAATTATGTGGCCTGTCTACGAGCACAACAGGCGCTTAAAGTCAGTAGAGGCCAGAACTGGATTTTATGCTCCAGTATGCCACTGGATGCAAATGGAAAGGCTACAGCGAGCATCTTCTATTATTACAGGGTATTAGCAACAATAAAAAGCACAAACAGGAGCCGCACGCACTGGGCAAAGATTGTTCCTGGCGAGAGCAAATATGGTGGTGGTGGTTAGAAGAGGAAGACGACGTCTGATTTCTGCAGCCTGGTAGGGAGCACTGCGCATAAAAAATATGGTGCTTCACCTGCATCACCATTGTCCTGCCGTTGTCCACACACACCAGCCCACACGCACATTTATATGGTGCATCACCGTTGTCCCCACACACCAACACACACGCACATATGTTTTGTTGGCTCTTGCGCCATCTACCATTAAGAAAACACAACATGACGCTTCAGTTTCTCTTTTATTCACCAGATGGCAAAACTGTAGGCATCAAGGGGTTTGGGCACAGATTACCTACCAGTTTGGGTTGTTTTTCAGGACGTCCTCCGTGGTTGTTCGCAATGGAGGTGTTACGGGTGTTCTCTGCAGACACTTTAGGTCACGATCAAGCTTCGAACGTAGTCTGATCGTTCGACTGTGATTGACACTTACCTGCATCTTGGGCAAATAAACCAACCCCGACCAAGAAGCACTATATAGTGCTTGGTCGTAGTTACAAGCGGGCAACGTGACATCCGTAAATATATTATCTTATATACATCATACAGAGTAACTACACCATATAAAACAACATAGATCTAGGTGTTTATTTGTTGAACAGCTTCATCACAAAGCAACTACCGCTTCAAGATTACACGATTTCTGAAACAGAAACTGGCACAGCGTTGGCGCAGGGTTGAGGTTTTTCATGTGTAGTTAGTGCTATCTAAGCAAAATGCAGTGCTATTATTTGGGTGCAGCGTTCTCGAATGCTGCGGCGAGCGCCAGAAAATGCCGCGCTAAGACACGCGCACAGCTACCGCGTGCTCGTGCAGCTTGTGCGCTCGTGCTACTCGCGCCACCCGTGCCGAACGTGCGATCGGCGCACCCCTGGCGGCGGTGGCAGCTTTGCTCATTGCTGGCTGCGTTCGCTCCCATCGCGGACCGGCGCAGCCTTCATTCAGAGCGAAATATGGCGTCGGAGGATGAGAACGCGCCGAAGTGTGATCTCGAAGGCGATGGCTGTGTCCGTTTGTCGTCGATCCTTCACGCCTTCGGTGCGCCCATCCGCGAGGAACAGGCCTGGGCCGTGTGCTACCAGACCTCGAAGTGCATGTGCAAGGAGTGGGCGGCGGACAACCGCGGATGTTACTGCCTGACAGCAACCAGTCAGCTGAGAATCCACAAGGATGGGAGCGTACACACCTCCACGGTGCGCGACTTGGGCCCGGGTAAGCGCGAGTTCACGTCATTTTTCTCTAGTTAGCGCGGATATCCTCGCTATTTCGGTCCATTTTCTCCTGATGACCAGTGGCAGTGACACTGCCTGCGGACCTTTTTCTGGCCTTCTGATATCGATCTTGTCAAACGAAAGAGAAGGCCGAGTCGTGCCCTGCGTAAATATAAACCACGATACGGCTTCTCTATGTTTTGACCGACTGTTGATGATTGTGACAGAGGTTCTCGCCTTGCCTACACTTATGTCCGCAACTGTCGACGCCGTATTTAACTCATTTGTCGATGGCGCTTGCTTGCGAGCATTGATGTGCCGGCACGACTGCCCGAAAGATGCGGGAGCGGCATCTCTTGGAAGTATCTTCTCTGGCTGGGTGCGTAGCCCTAATATGGAACATTAGGCGCGTGCCCTGCCCCCCCCCCCCCTTCCACCGGGAAGGAAGAAGAAGAATCTGTGCGCTAGGGTTACCCATACCGATTTCTACAGAACGCCAAGCTTAATAAAACGGCCTCTGGACACTGCCTCCTCTATCCCGTAAATGCGTCGCTGGTTCTGTCGTGTTGCGAGGTTTTTGTCGGCATTAGCTGGATCATGTCTTACTTGAGATTTCTGGTCGCCGTGTTACTGTTGAGGCTCCGGTTTAGTTTTCGCCAAGGTAGAGCTCCTTAGCGCATGCCAGCGCCTACGAATTGCGGAGGAGGCACTCTGATCCCACGCTCAGCATGGCTCCTCTTCGTTTTCTCTAGTTCTACTCAGATCGTCATCGGTCAACGTGTTTTCTCGCACATGGTGCTCTAAGTCGTTGTTACATTTGCTATCAGGCAACCCATTTTAAGACTTGCGTGAACCGTTCTCAGTTTTTTATGCTCACTTACATTGGTTTCGTTTAGAGGGAGGCGAGAGCATAACGGAAGAGAGTGAGGGATTCTTGTTTCATGCGTGCCTGCGATGATCGGCGAGCCCACGCGCACCGTTGCAACATTCGATCGTGTTCCGATTATTTTTCTACATGGTTTTGCTTGCAAAATGCCGCGCTTATCAACTTTGATTTCGCCCAATGCTTGCGGGATGTAATTTTATATCTCTGGTCGCTTATGTACTGTCGCTAGAATTGAAGCACGAATAAGGCAGCATGTCCATCCGTGCATTCTGCGTTTGCTTTCGAGTAGGTCCCAGAATCGCAAGTTGTGACACCAGAGCATCTTGAGCAAGCGATTGTGTGGCTATTGCAAATCTCACACTCAATCAATCGTGCAAGTACAGTGTGCTGGTATTTCTTAGTCGTAGTTCTTTCTCGCTGCAACACAAAATAATGCCATTATACGTTGACTTCGGTGCTGTATGGTGGTTAATCTTGAATTGTTTACATATACGTAAGTGCACATATAATCACAATTTAATCTAATTACAATTTATCTTGGTGTAATTCATGTTGCTTCATAAATAGTCATATTCCAGACTAATATTCATAACTAATTTCATTTTCAGTTATGTTTCCCTGGAGCTAAGTAAAATTGTACTCGCGGAAAGCGACACGTCGAAAATGTCAGTGCCTTCAGCGAAGTGCTCATGTGTAACTGCTGAAAGCGAAGAAAGATTTATTACGCTGATGCTTAGATTCAGACAAACAACAATGTATGGTGTCAAGCCTCAGCCACTGGTCTGCGCGACTTCGAGAATAAGCTGTGTACGCAGATACGATGGTGGCCTGCGAACTTTAACGCGCTCATATGCGACTCGTTTCACCTGCATCGATGTTCTGGTGGTTGGGGTGATCTATTGTTGACCCCGCGGGATCGAATCCCGGCCGCACTTCGATGGAGGCGTACTGCTAAAGACCCGTGTGCTTCAATTTGGGTGAACGTTAAAGAACACCGAAGGGTCGAAATTGCTGGAGCCCCTTTACTGAGGCGTCTCTGATAATCGTATTGTGGTTTTGGGACGTGAAACCTTCTATTGTTGCGCTTATTTTGATGCCTTTCGGTTGTTCGTCGGGTGGCGGTTTCAGTTTTCTGGGATTAAATCTTGTCGGTCAAGTCGCCACAGGTATTCTTTGCCATTGGTACCGCTTAGGTCATAAAGTTGTATTGAAAAACGAAAAAAAAAAAGAGAACGTTTACAGATAAATCTCAATTTACCGAAATCCGCTTGTACGGATTTGCCGGTCTAACGAAATTTCAATACTCCGGCTGGTACCCATTGGGTTCAATAATGTCACCAACCCCAATAACCGAACCCAGCATGGCACAATATCTATAGCGAAGTTTTAATGAATTAGTAAAAAAATGCCGTATTTTCATAATTTTGACTGGGACGAGTTTTTCTTAGGACTTGTGCTATGACGACTCCAGCTTTACTTCGATGTGACTGCGTTCAAGTGGCGCTAGTGATGCAGCGGAGGTTTGTTGTCCCACAGCATTCCATTTGTTATCAGTGATTTGTGCGAATGATGGCATTCATTTCTCCCTTTGCAACTTTATTGCCCGCCTTCTTGCATGGTCACTGCATTCGTTCTTAACGACCATACATTATTAGCGTCATACGATAGGTTCGCGTGACCACCTCCGAGGCTCCGTGTCCCGGCTGCCCTCGCGTGATACTTTTCACTCGCGCAGGCGTTGATTGGTCGATACATGGGGTTTTTTAAAAGTTCCAAAACCACCATATGATTACGAGAGACGCCGTAGTGGAGGGCTCCGGAAATTTCGACCACCTGGGGTTCTTTAACGTGCACCGAAATTTGTGCATACTGGCCTACAGCATTTTCGCCTCCATCGAAAATGCAGCCGAGTACCTTAGCCACTAGAGCACCGCGGCGGGGCGGTTGGTAACTAATAAAATGCCGCGGTGCCCTTACGGTGCCGCTACACTGCAGTTTTAGACTTTCAAGGATCGAAAAAATGTCTTTCAATTTTACGAATTACCCGATTTAACGAAGTAATCTAGCGCGGTCATCGCTCCCTAAGTCGAGTTTCGGGGAGGAGGGGGGGGGATATGTTTATTTGTTTACTCCGTCTAAGATACTGCCCCGCAGGTGTGTTCCACAATGTGCAACCAGTGTATAAGCACTCGTGTATACACACATGGAGCTCACGCACCCCATAGGTGCGATTATAGGAGGATTTTGAAGTTGTCTTACTGGCGAAAATCAAGGCGTACTTGGCGGTTCAGTCACCGGCCGAGGGATCACGGTTGCGGCAACGCGCGGAGTGTTGGGTTGGCACGCGTGAGTAGGTGTTGGCCGTCCTGTCGTTGGTCGCGATTCGTGACCGAGGCGTAGCCGCTTCCCCCCGAAAGGCATGCCTTCCGGGTTTAGGCGCATGCTGCGCGCGAAGGTCGCTCACGCGTCGATCGATTCCCGTGGTCTTCCGTATTCGGGCACGTTTTCGGGCATATCGACGTGGCCGCCGCGGGCAGTCGAGCCACGGTCGTGGTGGGTGGCCCAGTTTGGCCCCTCTTTCTGACGTCTTCGGCGCTGCCTCGAGTCGAGGCTTTCACAACGTTCTCAGCCGAGATTCGAAGTCCCCCGTGTGCGACGCAACGTGCGAAGGAAAGAAATAGTAGTGACTGTATGGTTATTTTCGTTTCGTCAAAAAAAAGTCTGTAAGAAAGGAAAGCTTGAAGTGCCCCCACCAGAGAAAGGAACTGAAAAAATGGCACAGAACGAAAACTGTGTACGGATGTGTCATCGTCATTTAACGGAATGTTTGTTGCATTTCTCCCGAGTGTATAATATGCATGGTTAGAAATATTAGTAGAATATATGGGGTCATTTTCAATAATGCAACATGGTTGGAATATATGAAGACGTATCGTTGACCCCATCAGCAGGACTTGCGTCTCCAGGATGACATCCAGTGGAAGAGGCTGTCAGAAAGAGCTCGGTAGCTGTGGCTCAGTTGTTGGTACACGAAAGCAACGTCTAGTACAGTCGACTTTCACTGACGGATCGTTCCTTTATCTCTCGCATATAAACTGTTGCGTGGCGAAAAAAAAAAAATTAACGCCTCCAACTGGGCCTTTAGTGGGGGCTAAAATAACTGACTCATGAAGGTGCGGCCGGATCGCATTGAGCGGCGCCTACTCGTTTCTCTGGCGCGCTCGTGCGGAGGAGGAGGCAGGGCCGCGCGGAATCCACATCGCTCACGGTCGTCACGGAGAGGAACGCGGCCCCCTTTTGGCATGAGTGGCCTGTCCGAGCATCGTGTTTGAGCCTGGTTTGTTGACCACCGCTCGTCGCTTCTCATCGCGCGATTGCCTTACGAGACAGATGCGCCGTCTTGTGTTTTGTGTGTGTGTGTGTGTGTGTGTGTGTGTGTGTGTGTGTGTGTGTGTGTGTGTGTGTGTGTTTTCCGCCCCCTATATGTAAAAATAACTAAAAGGAAAAAGGGGGGTAGCCCGTACCACCAGGAGGTATAACAGGCTCAAGCCAATCTAACATAAATGAAGAGGAGAAACTTCCCAATTTTTCATTTTTTTGATAAAGCCAATTAGTTAAAAAAAATAACATGGGTAAAACCTAGTGAGTGCAGCATGAAACTGTAATAAATAAACTAGTTAGCTTCTCAGGAATGAGCAGGTCGATATGCAGCAGCAGTGTATTTCCCCCACTTGAGTTTTTGGAGTTCGTGTGTGTGTGTGTGTGTGTTTATTTTAAATGCATTGTCGTTGAATGCAGAAAGTCTAAAAACAAACAACGAAGTGGGATGCGAGCCAGTGGTCTTGAGGATGGGTAAACGTTGACGAGGATGGTAGCAGTGGCCTCTGCGATGTGTGTGTGTGTGTGTGTGTGAGAGAGAGAGAGAGAGAGAGAGGTGGCGCGAATCTCTTCGGTCCCGATGCGCAGAGCGAAGCACTTCGAAGAGGCGCCGTCGGACTGTCACACCTGCAAACGCGCCCCGCGTGCTTTCATAAACGTGACCACTTTTAACAGTGGGGTTCTGGCACAAAAAGCTACCGCTATACTCGCCGAGCGCATGAAGCGCTGGAACTCGA